ATCTTTTCTAAAATATCTGTTTCTTAACTTAAAATGTAGTTGGACTATCGACAACGTATAATGCTCCTTCTTTTTACAATATGACAAAAGTTCTCCCAAGAAATGTTGAAAGGCTCAAAGGTGTTCTAGAAACCTGGAGACTGATTTCTAAATGCCACCCTGGAGTTGCATTTACTTCTTTTGCTGGCAATTATGTCATTAATGAATTCTTAATTTTTCTTTAATTAGGTGTTGTTCAAGTTCAGCAAAAGGTATTGGGTATCATTCCATCAACTACAGGTGCAAGTCAAACATTTACTTCATTCCAGCCAAGGACAGCGACTGTAACCATTAGGCCAAATACCACAGGGACGTTAGGAACAACAAGCACTTCACAAGTAAGATGTTTTTCTGATTATTTAATGCAAAAAAATGTGATTGCATGTATTTTAAGTTATTGGCAGATATTAAAAGTTCTGTCTCGTCACTTTTCAGTGGTTTTGGCTCATCTCAGCAATAGTGTTTATGGATCCTTTATTCCAAGGAGGTACAACAATTCTCTCCAATTGGAAAAATTAATAGTTTAAAGCTTGGTGAGCCTTACCAGTGTGAGCATAGATTAAAAAATATTGGATCTGCTTGCATCTTGTAATTTCTTATATATTAAAAAAACAAACAAACAAAAGAAAAAAACACAAAAAAACCCAAACCAAAACAAAAAACAACCACAAAAAAACAAAAACCACCAAACTTCAGGGCATATCCCAGTGGCTTTTTTCACAAGTTTCATATGCTCTCCATTTTGGTATGTGTAGGTAGTGCAAGGGACACCACTCCGCCCTGGTATGACAGTAATACGGACACCACTTCAGCAGTCAACGCTTGGAAAGACCATCATTCGAACACCTCTAGTGGTGCAACAAGGTATTCTTCCAGCCAGTAGGTTCATTTTAATATTTAAATTTCCAGTGTGAAATCCATGGTTTGTTTCTTCATAAATACTTTCTGTATCATATGTCCCAATGCAAAAATACCTCATTTTGCTGCTTGACTTCTAACAAGTGCCTCTTCTGGCTTTTGAATGTGTCAGTTGCAGGCTTTGTCAGAGTTGTTCATCATTGACACTGGGAAATCTAGTACTTATTTTTAGGTCCACTCTTTTGAAAACAAAAAAGTTTAGAATAATTGTGCATTGAGAAAGCTTGCTTTTTTTTTTTTTTTTTTTTAAAAACAAGCTAAGTGTTTGAAGTACTCCATAAGCATGTGAAATGAATTAAAATAGAAAACATTTTTCAGGCATTTTTCAGTCAACCACATAGACAAATGGTTTATAAAGAAAATTTATGTGCAAACTGCAGTGTTTGCTTCACTTGTCTAATTATACACTATTGCAAGTTGTTGTGACTCGGAGGCTTGCTGTGCTAATAGTTAAAATGTTGGAAATGTGTTTCTTATCACAAATTATTCTCTTACAGGTCAGACACAGCAAGTGGTGACTCAAATAATCAGGGGTCAGCCTGTCTCAACAGCAGTTTCTAGTACCAGCACAGCTTCTTCCAGTGCTGGACAAAAGACCGTCACAAGTCCTGGAACACCACCTCAGCAAATACAGCCGCAAACCACGTCGCAGCCCCCTCGCCCTCAGCAGGGACAAGTGAAGCTTACTATGGCCCAACTCACCCAACTAACACAAGGACAGGTAAAATATTTTACAGTCTCTAGGCGTGAAAATGTGCTAGTTCTTATGATACATCTTATCAAGCCTTTGGATTTCAGCAGTGTGGTGTATCTGCTCATAAACTTATGTTTCACCCTTCGTTTAGGATGACCGATAGCATAATTACAGAGTGAAAGAAGCTTAAATAGTATATGTAGAGTTTTAAATCTCTCTTTCTATTGTATTCCCCAGTAATATAACTAGCATCAGGACAGTTTAGCAGCATGGAAAAAAGTCTTTGCCTTAATAGCAGTAAGGGACATAATTATTTTGTGTGGCCTGTTTTGTAGACCTTCAGAACATAATGTTCGTTCCTTGTCTTTTGATTTCGTGTGAAGATTTAGTTTTCATTCATGTTATCCAGAGTCTCAGAGGAAAAATTACAGTATCTGGAACTGGAGGAGGAAAAAGTTCTTACAGCTTCTGCTCAGATCATGAAGGTCTGTGGGCAAAAAAATAAATTTAGAGTCAAGCATAGCATAAAAATAGACTTCTGTGAGTTACCACAATACCTGTTCTTCAGACTATAAATAATATATGTAAATGATTGTAATGTACAGGCTGCTTGTTGCCAGATAAGATTTTTATATGTGGAACAAGACTCAGAGAGTTCATTCCACACCAAAAGACTCAGGAGGATTTTTGCAGGGACCTTATTCTGTTCTATGGGTTCACAAAATGTGGAGTTCTGCATCTAAGTGTCAGGAAAATAGCCTACCTTCTCCATCACTGAGTTGAGAGTGATGTCATGAGCTGCCTAAGCGTTAGCTTGAGCAACAGGAATTCACAATACGTTACAGACTCAACAGTCAGTCGTGAAAGCTCACAGTTGGGTAGGATCTGATACGTGGTTAGGAGATGTTTTCAGTTCAGGGAACTTTTACACAAACTGTTGGGATTCTTGAGAAAGTTATTAATAGTATGTCTGAAGTTATCCATGCTCTGTATTGCTTGTAAATTCTAGGAACAAAGATGTTCCATTGTAGCTGCTTTCTGGCTAGAGTTCTTGTCAATATTTGGATGAAAATATGTGTAACTAACTCCAACCCAGTAATCTGTTGATGATAGAGTTGTTGAAAGAGTATTTTAGTATTTCATGATCTCAGATGCTAGGTTTGACTTTTAGGAATATGGTATGTGGTAAAAGAATTCTGAAATCCAAACCCCTAATTTTTCTGATTTTCAGCAAAGTCTGTCTGAGAAATATATCACTAATACATCAATATTAACTTTTTTTTTAGGGTGGCAGTCAAGGATTAACTGTGGTAATTCAGGGACAAGGTCAAACTACTGGTCAATTACAATTAATCCCTCAGGGTGTGACTGTAATACCTGGTCCAGGACAACAGCTTATGCAAGCAGCTATGCCAAATGGTACAATTCAGAGATTTCTTTTCACCCCACTCCCAGCAGCTGCTACTACAGCTAGCACAACTACAACAACAGTTTCTACTTCAACCTCGGGTAAGCATTGTTTCGTTCAGCAGAAAAAAAGCCTCAATTTCAGTTGCATGGGAGGTTTTTATGCAGTTGGAGATGGTCTGTCATTACAGTAAATTTGTTGGTAGTGTATTATAAGCTTAGAAATGTCTTGAATTTCTGCATAGAGCTTTATGATAGTTCTAAAAGGTTCAAATTAGTGAGGCTCATAGATGTGCCATTTGAAATGAATGGAATACTTGTTTTTATCCTTCACAGCTACAGGGGAACAGAAGCAAGCTCTACAGGCACAGCCATCATCAGTACTGCCACCAGTTCAGCCACAGCCTCAGAGTCAGCAGCAAGCCCAGCCTCAAGTGCAGAATCAGAGTACCCAGCCTGTGCCGCTGGCCCAGCCACAGGCACCTCAGCCAGCGCTTCAGCCTGAATCTCAGACCCAGCCTGAATCTCAGACTCCAGCATCTGTGGACTCTCCAGTCACACCTGAAGCACAATCGTCTAAATCTCCAGTTCAGTCTCCAGCGCAGACCCAGGCTCAAGGGCAATCTCCAGTGCAAGTCCAGAGTCAGCCGCAGACTGCAGTCCTTCCACAAGGCCAGTCCCAAGTCCAGCCTCAGCAACCAGCTCAGGTGCAGACTACAACCCAACAACAGATTCAGATGCAGCCCCATGCTCCCATACAAATTCAAGCTCAGCTGCAGCAATCACAACCTCAGGTTCAGACTTCGGTCTCAACCCTTCCAACTACTCAAAGTTTAAATCAGGTTCCTGTGCAATCCCCAACTCGTCCTCAGCTGCAACTTCAGCAGCCTCCAACAAAAGTTATTACAGTGCCTCAGCTTCAGCAACAAGTCCAAGTTCTCTCTCAGCTTCAGTCACATGTTGTGGCTCAGATACAAGCCCAACAAGGCAGTGTGCCCCAGCAGATCAAGCTTCAGTTACCTATTCAGATTCAACAAACTAGCCCAGTACAGGCTCACCAGATTCAGAATGTGGTAACAGTTCAAGCAGCTAGTGTTCAGGAGCAGCTGCAGAGAGTTCAGCAGCTCAGGGAGCAGCAACAGAAGAAAAAGCAGCAACAGATAGAAATTAAACGTGAGCACACCCTTCAGGCTTCTAATCAAAGTGACATTATCCAGAAACAGGTAAAGTTAAAAGAAGGAAATTAAAACTTAATTAATGAAACAAATCTCATTTTAAATGCCTGTTCTTGTTAACAATGTTAATACATTTGATAGGCAGTTAATTTGATTCTTTCAAAGTTAGTGCACGATTGCTTTTGGCAATTTCATTAAATATTCGAAGTTAATTCAGCACATCAAGTCAATTGTACCATGTTTGCAGTCTTCTGGCACCTTGATTCAACTTATCACTAGCTGCTGGGACAATATATCTTTATTCTCAGTTCAGGAAAGATAGGTTATAGCTAGGAGAGCTGATGTTCAGAACACATGTACAGTACTTTCATTGCCTGCTGTAGGAAACTGAGGTTTCAAAGAGGTATCTGAAATGTAATGCTGTTGGATGGCTGCAGGGCTTAAAAAAATACATATATATATATATATATATAAAATAGACTCTTACCTTTTTTTTTTTAAAATAAAACATCCAGTCACTGAAGAAATACTGTCAATTTACATTTAGTCCCTAGATTTAAGCAAAATATCCTACTCTGTGTGAGTGGTGGAGGTGGTGTTCATTTTCAATATAATTTTCAATTTTCAAATAATTGCTTTAAACAAGCATTGCCCCCCTGAAAATCAGTTTTATTTTGTCACTTACTGAAATAAATAACACTCTAACTTTTTCTTTAACTTAGGAAATGTCCTGGTTCTCCCAGTAATATTATGAAATGCTGGCTAAAGTTTTCATATTTTATTTTGGATTCTGTATCACCCTGCAGGTGGTTATGAAACAAAATGCTGTCATAGAACACTTGAAGCAGAAGAAGACACTGACTCCAGCTGAGAGGGAAGAAAATCAGAGGTGAATATGCATCATAGTGCATCTTTAGATGTGAAAGTTTTACATTGTAACATCTTTTAATGGTGGTATAATAAAACACTGGTTTGTAAAAACCTGCATAAAGAAATTTTTCTGTTTTAAAATTGGCTAAAGTAACACTCAAAAGTAACTTTCGTAATGATGTTCTTAACTTTAAGTAATTAAATCCTGTAAATTATCAATTTCATTTTGGTTACATGTTTTTAAAGTGAAATGTTGTATTGCATGTGTTTGGAGCTGGCTACGTTTTTTAAGTTCAAGGTAAAAACCATCCTTAAAGGAGCGCAGAATGGAGAATTAATGCTTTTGTTGCAGAAAAGCCTGGGGTTTGTGTGAGCTTTATCATGGCAGTTTATTTCCCTTCTTGTCCACTGTGCATCCCACTTTACAGATGGAATTGAAGAGTTGGAAAATAGTGCTATTCAACGAACTCGATTTTATGCTTGAAGCTGCTAAACACAAATTTGGAGCATTTGTCATTTGTCTTGGGGTTATTTTGACTCCTTTTCACTCGTGCAGTTGCTTCAGTTGGATAATCACAAGTGTGTGTTGTCAGATAGTAAGAAAAAGAATAGTGTTTTTCATAAAATTTTGATCATCAAATCAGAGTACAAGCTTAGTTGATTACAACAGTATCACTAGGTGCTACTCACTTAACGTTCACAGTTGCATAAAGAATAAGATGTATTGTCATACACTCTTCATTTAATGGGGTCAGATGGCCAAATTGGTATTTATACTGACAGAAGTCCAATTAAAAAAAAAAAAGAAGAGTTCTAACTACTTGAATCCTGGTACAGCTGTCTCTTCCGTTCTCAACGATTTTGTTTTTTCTTCTCCAAAAACATAGTTTAGGTATCTTATGTGGTGAAAAAACAAGCTAAACCAAGTAGATATAGTGCAGGTAAGAAGAGCAAAGTAAACAAAATCGTATGACCCTAGAAACCAGCTAGCATATTACATATGTCATCAAAATGCAGATGTGTATCAAAAGACAGTGTGTCTGAGCCTAAGACTACGCAGTTAGCAGCAGCTGCTTGTCCCAGCCATTGCTATTTTGTTGTTTGCTTTCAGCTCCTATGTCAATGGGAGTTATTTTTCATGGTCACTTTGGCAACAAGAAGCATTTAGTTTTCTAGTGAGTTTGAAATAGAATGGGAAGGGAAAAGTAAATTCAGAAGAACCAAAATACATTCATTTTCTAACTGAAATACAAAACAAAATAAATGAAAATTGTAGAACAAGTGAGCAGGAAAAGAGATTTATAGTTGAGTGTACAACGAGCAGATGAAAAATTAATCCGGAGTTGTCATTAGTGAAGAAACTGGGAACTGTTTTATAGTGAATTCTATACACTGAAAAATATTTGTCAGTCCTTATGCCAAAACACAAAAGCTTAGTAATATTTGGTGGTTACTGGAGGGTGGAAATGTATGTTCTAGAAGAAGTTGCAGGCTCCCAACTTGCTTTCATCCTACATCAGAATAAACAAAATCCAGCTCTTTCAAACGTGTTTATGGAAACTGAATTGCGTGAAAATATCTCTCATCGTACTAAAGCCTAAGCTTTGTTAGGAGTTTTATAGGGGAAGGGGAAGAATAGTTAGTACTCGGATCAGTTAAATGAAATTGGGACTGGCCCTCTTGAGCCTAACTAGGGACTTGATCTCTCACCGTGGTGGTGTAGTAAATAAGTATGAGTGGGAGCAATGTGTGTTACTAAATTTACTTTGTACCTCTTGTGAAGTGTAATAATCTAGCTTGCAACTTGCAGAGACTGGAGAATTAAATGATTCTGCAGTCTCACCTGGGGATAAATAGGCAGCTCAGCACAGTGTACTTTTTCTTTATTTCTTCCCTAGAATGATTGTGTGCAACCAAGTGATGAAATATATTCTGGATAAGATAGACAAAGAAGAAAAACAGGCAGCTAAGAAACGAAAGCGAGAAGAGAGTGTGGAACAGAAGCGTAGTAAACAGAATGCTACTAAGCTCTCAGCTCTGCTTTTCAAGCATAAAGAACAGCTGAAAGCTGAAATATTGAAAAAAAGAGCACTTCTGGACAAAGATCTACAAATTGAAGTGCAGGTAAGGACAGTTATTCTCAAAGACTAATTTGGTTTTAAGCTGGGGAGAGAACATTTCTGTGTTAATCTTTATCTCTTTGCTCAGTGAGATTGTAAGGAAACATACAGGAAGAAGTTCTGGTTGTGGATGCATGGATCTCTGCGAAGCTAGTATATGTCCTTTTTATGCTTCTTGTTTTTCATCTGAAGTGAAATTCCCTTGTTTCCTGAAACAGGTTCTGATAAATTACAGCCAATGGGTCATAGTAGGCCAAGAGTGTTATCCCTTAATGTCATATGAGCTATACATTAAGCACGTTTTAAAATTTGCATATTTAAATGGATTTAATTATTTTCTTTTGGCATGGGGATTTATGTCTAGATTTTAATCCTGTCCTGGAATAATCATATGAAGTGCCTCCCTCTCTATTTATTCATTTAATATACTTCAGGAGGAGCTAAAGAAAGACTTGACTAAAATTAAGAAAGAAAAAGAAAAAGCCCAGGCAGCTGCTGCAGCAGCCGCAGCCGCAGCTGCTGCGGCCGCAGCTGCAGCCGCTGCACCACCGCCACCACCACCGCCACTGCCATCACCACCGCCACAGCAACATGCAGCCAGCGTCACCTCCTCCTCCTCCACCACAGTCCCAATGCCAGTATCCTCCCAGAAGAGAAAGCGAGATGAGGAGAAAGATTCGTCAGCTTCCAAGTCCAAGAAAAAGAAAATGATTTCTACTACCTCAAAGGAAACAAAGAAGGACACAAAGCTTTACTGCATCTGTAAAACGCCTTATGATGAGTCTAAGTGAGTAGTGAATGCCCTAGCCTTTTACTGTGTGTTCTTAGCTTTAGCTGTAGTATTTAGCTGTTAGTGCAAGGTAGTTCTAGAATTGGAGATAGAGTATCAGGTGTTATTGCAGTGATCACTGAGGTATAAAGAATAAAGTCTCTGTTTTCCACTAGCAGTTACAAAACTATTAACATACTTGATTTATACTATTAATATACGTGGTATATATTTTTACTTGTTTGCATGTTTCCATTGTATGACCTTTCTGTCTCACATGCACATACTCTTTTTTCTTTTTTTCCTCCGCTCTGTTGTTCTTTCTTTTGCCGTTTTGCCTCTGCCTCGGAAGCAAGTGACAACTTGGTTTGAGCAATTTCTTGTGAACAAGTAGCTGATGTTCTTTAGAAATAGCTTTGGTACCGTCTTCCAATAAATGACTTTTTTTTGTAAGCAATAGCCAGTAAAGGGGGTTGCAAGTTTCTGGACTGCAGTTCACTTTGGACAATGTTTCAGGTAGAAATGGTTTCCATGTGTTACAATTTACATCCCAGGGTTGATAAAAAATGAATATGTAAGCATTTGACAAAGTGAAAACTGCAGTTCTCTGTAGTTTGATTCTGACTGTGAATGAGGTAAAATATTTACGCTATGTACAAAGTTTGTGAAGAAATTTAGTAAGTGGTGGAGTGGAAGATTGGATTGCAGGGGGATAGTGTTACCGTTCCTGCTTAAGCTAGAAGTGACTAACATCAGTAGTTAGTAATGGTTAACATCTGATAGCTGCGTAGAGATGTACACAAAATAAATTTGACTTCAGGCCAATTCCAAGTGAGTATGTATCTGCTCAACAAGTGACAATACCAAGCAGTATTAATTGGTACCATTTGGTGATGGTTTAAATGCTGGTAACAGAAAGAAACCATAGAACTGGAATAGTGCTTTCACTCCGGTAATGGTTCTTCATTTCAAATTTTGGGCCAGGACTAGAGGATTTCCTGAGGTTCCTTATAGCCTTTTTTTTTGTTTTTTTTTAAATGAAGTTGAGGTCTTTGGGGCTTTTTCACCTTGGCTGTCCGGTAGGTCTGACCATTACATCAGTGTGGGAAATTGGACTGTTCTCTGTGCTGCCATCGCTGTAGAAATAGCAGATAGATGCCCTGGTTGTTAATTCACTGTTATTTCTCAGGGATGTCACCTATCTCGCTTGAAGAACATTGTGTTAGGCTTTCTGTCATCCAGTAAACTTAGGAGGATACCCTGTTCTCGTTTTGTTGTGATACCAAGCAAAGGCCCTGTGTATTACTGCTTCTGTTGTTAGCAAGACAGTTAAAACTGTTGCAAAAATAAGATGAGATGAACAAGTTCTGTGAGCAAAAGGATTTGCTTGTCAGACTAACTCTTTCTGTTGACTCCAGTGGGCATTTGAGTAAGCTGATGAAAAATGTGGTCATAGAGTGAGTTTTGGTAGCCTGAATCGAGAACTGTGCTTAAATGCACAGAATAAAACTTCAAGAAAATGAAATGTTAATAACTTAGTAGTATCCTTAGCAATATGGTGCAGTTCTGCTGCTGTGCTTTTTGTGAATTCTAAATTTTATGTTCTTAGAAATGACTGTACTGCTGAACTACGTTATCCTTTCACTCTTTGGAAAGGGATTAGTCAAGTTTTAAAACAGTTTTCTGGTAAACATTTTCTTTATTTTCATATATATATATATATATATATAGGCATCAGATACTCCTCTGTGCTGGTGTCTCTTTTCTACTTCAGAAAAGATAGATGTGCTGCTTGAAAAGCTAATTTGTGGTATATTATGAATACCCTATGCATTTTTTAGCATGTAGTAAATCCTCAAAAGTCTTCCTGTGTTGTTTATTTTATTGCAAATCTCTCATGTTTAGTTCTCATTTGTGATACTCCAGGGTTGTAGGGATTTGCTTATATTGTTTTCGAGGATGGTCAGTAAGGGTATCCTTCTAAGATTCCTACTTACATTGCAACTTAGTTGTTAAAGCATAATGTGACGCCTGTTCTGTATTCTAGTGGCAAGGTTTAGCATCTACACCTAGTCATAAATGGGCTTCCAGATTACCAGGAGCAAACAGACACAGTCCCTCTTGGGAAGAGGACACAGGCCAAAGCGCTGTTGATAGTTGTCAGGAGGAGCTATCCATCTATCCATTCTTTATGGAAGGTTGGGCTGTGTAATTTTTTTTTTTTTTTTTTTTTTTTTTTGTCTGACTGAAAATTAAGCGAAAAGGCAGAATCTGAGTATCTGGGACGTATGCAGAGGCCCAAGAAATTAGAGATGCTTGTTTTGTGGAGCATGTGCTAGCTACTGGCCTGTTGCTAGTGTGTAGTGTCCAGTGGTGGTGCTTGCAGCCTGACAGACCAGGGTGGCAGGAATTCCTACAGCAGCACCTGGCAGGGGGTCTCCAAAATCTAGGAAGATGGAGGTTCTGAGTCAGCTTGCTTTTGCTTAGGCAGAGAGAACGGATGTGTAACTTTGCCCATCTGGTTGATTGTCACTAGTCATAGGTATGTTTTGAGGTATCCATACACAAAATGTCAAACATCCTTGCATAATATTTTACAGTTTTGTCACATCATTCTGTGCAAGGTCCCATTCACATGATTCTGTACCTGATTCCCTTCACTTTGTGTCATACCATATCTGGTTCCGTCACACAGCCGTGTCTGAGAGTAGACATTATAGAGTCTGAAGAATGGTCCACATTCCAATTCATTGTAATTTTGAGTAGTTTAATATCTGGTTTTCAGTGCCCTCCCCCCCCCCCCCAAAAAAAAAATAAAATTAAAATTATGACAACCATGTCCTGACCCCATTTTCTTTCGTATCATGTTATACCAATATGTATTCTACACATGGCTGGTATGCATGTTCTTTGTAGTATACTTGTAACTCCTAGTTGGTGTTTGCGCTTTGCTTTTGTTTTTTAAATTAACTGAGACCTACATTTTCAAATCTTAAGGAAATGTTTCAGTGGCTTTTGAGCTACGGTTTTGAAAATGTAAATCTTTTTCTTTGGCCTTGTCTTTTTGTGCCTTTTACAGTTTTTCACACACACATTGGAGACGTACATTTTTAGCCCAGTTTTGTCGAAGTCTGGTTACATATTGATGTGCATTTTAATGAACTGTCAATTTAAAATTGACCCAAGTGACCTTACTGACAGTATAGCTGCAGCATGAGATGTTAGTGCGTAAGGATAGCATCCTAGGAAGCAGGGAAACTGAGACAGAAAATCGAAGAAAGTAAGGCAGCAAGAAAGTGCATCAGAGAGAAATGCAGGGAAAAGTGCCATGCCATTTGAAATGACAATTACATTGTCATTTTCATTGTGAATACTTTTAGGTTCTATATTGGCTGTGATCTTTGTACTAACTGGTATCATGGAGAATGTGTTGGCATCACAGAAAAGGAGGCTAAGAAAATGGATGTGTACATCTGTAATGATTGTAAACGGGCACAAGAGGGCAGCAGTGAGGAATTGTACTGTATCTGCAGAACACCTTATGATGAGTCACAGTGAGTTCTGATAAGAACCTCTTATTTAATGTCTAGGTAGCAAACTGCTCTGACTGTGGTTACCTGTTCCTTACAAAGAAAAAAGAAGTTATTCTGCATATGTTGTATTCATTTGTAATACAAATTGCTTTTCAGTAATTGTCTTCCTCTCAAAAATGTTTCTATACGGTAAATGTTTAGGAAAAGTAAAGTTTTCAGGGTGATCAAAATGTGTTGGGGTTTTGTTTTTTTTAAAAAAGTACTTTAAATTGGGATTGGTTTGGTGTTTGTTTTTTTTTTTTCTTTTTTTAATAAGGGATGGTTAGAAAGGTTAAAAGACAAATGTAGTATTTAGTGGATTTTTTTGTGCTTTAATTTGATCTGGATAGAAAGCATAATTTTAGTATGGGGTATATGGTTGGTTTCTTTTACCGTAAGGCTTTGTGTCATAGAATACCCTTCTGTATTCAACTACAAGACTGAAGCTTCCATATGAAAAATGTTTGTACGGAGTGAAACAAGAGCCCTAGTTGTAGTCCAGTTTGCGCAAAAAGTATCTTGAATTGTTTTGGAAGACTGGTTGGGTGAGACTTCTGGCATTACGCTGTTCCTTTCAACTCTAAAGCAGAGGAATGATTTTTGAAATCTTGATTGCTTGAAGGTGCCTAGTATAAAATTTAGGAACTAATTTTGAAATGGTTCATAATTTAGCCTGTTTGTAAATACAAAAGCAGTTTGAATAGTGTAATTAGAATTTTTCAGTCTGAAATATCACGTTACACTGTTGTATTTAATCATGCCAAGTATCTGCTTATGTGCAGGGGATTGCAGGTTTATGTATTTAAAAGTAACTTTCAAATTAAATAGATCAAGTCACTAACATTTTTTTTGGATCTTGCAGATTTTACATTGGCTGCGATCGATGTCAGAACTGGTATCATGGGCGCTGTGTTGGCATTTTACAAAGTGAGGCAGATCTCATTGATGAATATGTGTGTCCACAATGTCAGTCCACAGAAGATGCCATGACTGTACTCAGTCCACTAACTGATAAAGATTATGAAGGCTTAAGAAGAGTACTACGTTCCTTACAGGTGAGAATAAGGATTGCAGCAAAGTGGAGCGCTTTACTCGATAGGGCATATCTAGTGAGTCTTGGAGTAGGTTTTGATTTCTCTTCTAGTAGTTTTGAGACTTTACAAAAAGGAGATAGCAAAGCTTTTTTTTGTGAGAAGTGCCACTGCGTCAGCTGCAAACTGGATTGACATTATTGTACTAAGGAATATTTACAATAATTCGTATATCACTGCTTCTGAGTTAGTGAAACTAAACAATCTCTTCAGTGGAAGGCTTTTAAAGGAAGCAGGTTTACTTAGAATACCAAAAGGCCGAGTGGTAGCCTAACTGCAGAGGATGCAGACGGTGCAGTGTTCTGTTCTCAGATTAGTTTTCTATGATTTCTGATCTACGCTTCTGTACTTCAATCTCGGAGTTATTAGATTGCAATAGTGTTCTCACAGAAAGTCGTTATCAGCATGTAAATGATGGCATCCTGATAATAAGAATTACACCACTCTCTGTTACAGTATATTTCTGGTTTATCTGTCACTCCCAAATATGCCGTTTCTGCTACAACTGTGAAGAATTCTTAAGAATTTTGGTGAAATAATTGTGTGGTAACAAATCCTCAAAGGGTAATATTTTGCATTGTCCTACATTTTGCAGACATTTATGAAAACGAATTAATTTTAGAGTACTTGAAAGTGAAAACAGTGGCCGATTTCTAGATGTGAAATGCCAAGCACGCTCAGTGAATTCATTACATACTTTTCTGTGCAGCCTGTTTAGCACAGTATCCTGTTAGGTCTGAATTTCACTTTGTTTCCTGTTTTGAAGACCACCTACTGCGTCGTTGACATTGAGCTTTAAAACTTTAGCCAGTCATCAGATGAGAACTAGTTACCTTTTCATATAATGCTGCACTTCTTCCTTAAATTCAACTCTAGACCCCAACAGATAAAAGTATAATGAAAATATTTAGCTAGTAAGTAGTGCTAATTTAACTTAATTGTTTTTGTAATTATATCTTGCTTTCCTGACAGGCTCACAAGATGGCATGGCCATTCCTAGAACCAGTAGATCCCAATGATGCACCAGATTATTATGGTGTTATTAAAGAACCAATGGGTAAGTGTTTCTGAGCAATAGCGTGAGCGAGTGGATTTGGGTTTTTTGAATATCAAATTAATTACCTGCTGACCATTTCCATCCGGGGATCTTAAAGATATGTTTTGCAGCATACACAGTTTTTGCAGTTAGGCAGACAAAACAATGTGATTTCTCGTTGATATATTTGGAAGTTCATGAAGGTTAATATATCTGCTTCTAAGCTGACTCCTTAGCTGTAAATACTGTCAGTCTAATGTATAAAATGTGAAATTCAGTGCAGCAGTAGGATAGAGCTCTTACTTTATTTCAAGAGGACAATTCTGCTATGTTTTGCATGGCTTGGGTTTTTTCTTTGTGCATCAGTTCCTCCTACAGAGCGTGGAGTATGTACTCTAGAGTTTGAGGAGGAAGTGGTGCTAATACAGTTAAATGTGACATGCTATTAAGATGGAGTTTAAAGTTCTCTTCGTCTGACTTTGATACCAAATTTTGTATTATATGTAATTTGTCTTTAAAGCTGTGGGAACAAGACTTGTTTCACATGTTGTGTATGTGGGAGAAGGTGGAAGAGGAGATGCTAGATAAACACTTGAATGTGAAACCTCTGGGGAAAATCTACCTCCTGCCAGAAATGGTGTTGCTAAATGTTACTCCTTTCCTTCCAGTTATTGACCAATACCTTTTCCTATGTCTAAATGAGAGCTGGTGTATTATTTGAGCTTTCCCACCTACTCCTTACTGATCCTGGCAACAGGGAAGTTAAATTTAGTATCTTGGCAAAATTGTAGTATGTTGACTGAAAATAATATTTTGCTTAGAAATTGTGTCCTTTTCTGTTCCAAAGTTTTGGATTGTGCTGTTATGAAAATGCTAAACAACAACTATTCCATAATTGATGGGTTAGGTTAAAGTTTATAAGGAAAGCTCAAATAATAATATAATGAAGCATATGAAGATTGAATGAAGTAAACAAAAGTGCATTTAGCCCTTTCTGACTTAACTAGCAGGAAAATACACTTGTAAGTATACAATAGATGGGAAATACACTAGGTGATCCAGCCCCATCTACGTTTGTTTTCACACATCCTGGCGCTACTGGCATATCAAGATAAGCACTTTAAGGGCATTTTGCAAGGGCAGGTCATCATTTTTCCAGCTGAAAGTGCCACTAATCATTTAGACAGTGATATTTATAATTGGCAGTTCTCATTCCTCTCCCTCTTTTTAATTTATATTTGCATTAAAATAGGACAACTACTGCTCTACTTCACCATTCCGGTCTCATTGATGTGTCTAGTCAGTAAGAATGAGAGCAGTAGCATTTTGCATGATCCTACACTTGAATTTCTTTCATCTGTGCCATGTGGCAATGTGCATACGCCCGTGAAAATTGATAATTCATTCAAAGCAAGTCATGAATTCAAATAAAAAATAATCAGAAGGTTTAGGTAGCTGTTACATGTACACATATGACTCCTGGTCTCAGGGAGGGCTGTAAAGAAAATAAAGTACAAGTAACTGAATCCAGATTGTCTGACATTTTTTTTCCTTAATTTCTTCAGAAAAAGAAAATAAGTTCCTGCAAAGACCCAAGTTTTCCAGGGTCATTTTGATACTTGCATTTTAATTTAGCTGCGCACAACATACTTACGCATACATGTTTATTCTGAAGGAGACCTACCGGTGTCACCACCTCACAACCAGCATTCCTGGAAAAGCAACTACCCTAGATAGGCTTTGTTTCCCACATCAGACAATGTGAACTTCTGCTGAGGATGAAAATGTCTCATTTTAATAATCTTTGGTTTCTTTAAAGACCTTGCCACCATGGAAGAAAGAATACTGAAACGTTACTACAAAAAGGTCACGGAGTTTGTGGCAGATATGACCAAAATTTTTGATAACTGTCGTTACTACAATCCAAGTGACTCCCCTTTTTACCAATGTGCAGAAGTTCTTGAATCATTCTTTGTACAGAAACTAAAAGGATTTAAGGCAAGCAGGTAAGCTAAAGTGTTCCTAATCATAGATGTTCTGTTGTCCCCTAAAATCTCCTTAATGCTTTTATAAGCTTACCTTGCATTCATACAGGGATTTGCCTCTCCATGCGCTTTCCTGGACAACTGCTTTTCTTTTAAAGGGGAGAAAAGAACCTGTTCTATAATAGCCAGCTACCATTTGCTGCCAAAGTTAAGGCTTAACTATGATTTTGTAATGTTTGTTCAAAATAAGTTGTTAGATGCAAATTTGGGCAGTATCATAAATGTAGAAAATGTGAATGACACTTTAAGTCATTGCTGCAGAAAACTTCTCGAGAATCATTTCTGATCAGGACAGATACTGTGTTGTTCTGAGTTCTGCTAATGTGCTACTGCGCCATAAATACTTTCCAGATGCTAAAAAGAGACAATCCTTCCATCAAGCTTAGAATCCAGTGAAAGAAATTGAAATACTTTAGTTTTTACTACCTTCTCTCACTTTTTATAACTTAACATATTTGAAAAAGAGGGAATAAGTAAGGTTTAAAGTAGGACCTGGAAAACTAAACACAATTCAAAATTTACTATTTAAAATTAAACTTCCTTTTTTAATGTTTTTCTGTAGAAGGATCGATGTAGAGTATTTTCCTAACATAGAAATCCCTGAAAAAGAACATGCAGCTCTACTACAAATTTTTCTATTGCGTGCCAATTCCGTCTAGTAGCACGTACACGGGAGTTGTATGGCACTAGGCAAAGTATCATGCGGTGTTTCCTACAGCTGTTCCTAAACCCAGCTTACTCAAAACACTAATGGAGAATATGGATTTCTGCTGTATCACTGCTGTATTCCAACATAAGCCAACTGTAACTGCGTTACAAACGTTGGATGCCTTTCAGCATTACTCAGAAACGGTATATGTGTAGTAGTTAGCTTTGTCCATCTGACCGTAACAGTCAAAACTGGAACAGGCTGCTAGTCTAAGTTATGAATGCAGGATTATATCCGTTTGTAATTAAATAGAAAGCTTCACTTCATATCCATCGTCGTGGAGGCTGTCTGATTTTCTATATGCAACGAGGGTAGGATGGATAAGAAGGGATGAGATCAAATGAATTAGTCCAGCATTTTTCTTTCCAGTTTAATACTGGATTAATGATTTTTATCAGGTAGTTTTCAGCTCATGTTTCCGTCATCTCTAGCTGGTTACCCAGCATTCACTGCTTGCACACTGATTTCATTACTGCATCTTATTTGTTATTGTTTTTCATTTATACCATCCGTGTTCTTTCTTTTCTTGCAGATTGTGATATCTTTAGTCTGAACTTTTTAACTGGAATCAGAACTGGATGTTGGGGTCCCTTTCTTTTATTGTACAATTCGATGACATTAAACTGCCCTAAAAATCCAGATCACTTGTCTAAAAAGTAAATGTTGTTGGGCTTTTGGTTTTTGTTACCGGCAGTCATGCTGGTACACGTAACTGTATTAACAAAAAAAATTATCCCATTCCTCGAATACTGTATTGAGAAAAATGAAAAATTCATCTTGGAAACCATGTATTTTATTGTTTTATTTTCAGTCACTAATAAAACTGTGAATGTCAAAGAGGAGTTTTGCTGAACTCTGATTAGCAAAAATGTTATTTTAACATGCCTGTTCAGTTTTTTCTATTAAGTTAATCCAAAGACGACTTGAATAAATTTAAGCAAAGTATACCTTATTATAAAGATTCACAATTAAAAGTGTCTTTTTGCTTTCCTTCGATGGACTACTATTATGTAAACATGAGAGTAAAACTGATTTCAGGCATTTTGGAATATTCCAGTGGCACACTGCATTTTACAAGTACTGCAATATTTGTATACTGCCGGAGGAAACGCGCTTAAAATTCAGAGAGAATTATTTTCAGTGTTCTTTTTTCTGAAGGGGGAAAAAAAGAAATGGAAGCAACATGGTGGTAATTCCCTCATTGTGATTTACCCTTGGCAACACCTTGCAGCAACTGTCTTCTCCAAAATGAAGGGTGCTTAATTCTTCACTTTCTTCTGTATTCTGCAGGTCCCATAACAACAAACTGCAGTCTACAGCTTCTTAGAGTTCAGCGTGTTATCCTAACACACGAGCAAGAATCTGGTTGTCTGAAAATTTTTAATTAAGAAGCCAGATGTTTTTAGTCAGGTTATCCTGACAAGACTTGATGTAAACTGCGTTTTTATTGGTCACAACAGTCAAATTATATTCTTGGCTTATTTTGTCCAAAGGACAAAGAAATAAAAATCAGCAGCACCACTTTCTTGTCAAGATCAAATTGTTGTACTATTGTGGCAGAAGCAGGAAAACTTTGTTTTGTTGAAGGAGAGAGAGAAAGAGAGCAAGAAAAAAAGATACAGTAAATGGGGTCACGTTTAACTCCATGGAAATGCCACGTCTGTTCTTCAGTGAAGAAGCTGGTTTAAAGTCCACACAGAAAACTTTGACTGTATTTATTTATTGTTGCAAAAAAGACGCTTTTTTATTGCTGCCCTCATTTGTCAGCTAATTATTTTTTCTTATAAAATCCAGCCCCGGTTACATGTAATCCATTCTGTATCTTAACATGATTCCTGTAGGTAAAAGTACAAGAAGACCTCTAGATGTCTTTTCTTTCTATGAAAGGAGCTGCTATGTACACATGTGCACACACACAGGACTGGGAATCAACAATGAGTTTATCATTCATGGTAGATAAAAACAATTAAGCTTGCATAAAATTTGGGCTAAGTGGTCATGGACTACAGACTCTGTTGCCTTGAATATAACAGTACAATTAGTCATTTACTCTGCACCAGACTGAAATGAGTAAAATCTATTTGAAGGTATCTTGTTTGTAAACATTTGTCAGATTCTAATTTTTTTCTTTTGTATTAAAATTCAAAATATGGATGTATATGAAACAAAATAAATGGAGATCATTGTTCTCCCCACAGATGTAGGTGTCTTTGAGTGTGCGCTAATATGTTTGTAACGCTTTGGGGATCTGTTCAGATATTTCAAGTAATAGGCGGGGAAGTGGCCAGGGAGATCTGATGGCATTTTGCTCCAAAGGGAGCGTTTACTACGTTTCATTCTTAAGCAGCTGTTACCCTTCATAACATTTCTACAGTGGTGCCAAAATTACTGTAACAGACAACATGGTAGGAAGCGTTTTGTGAAATGTCACTGCCCACCGCCGAATTAAGTGATACTTTGCCAGGTACTCTAGGAATGCCAAGTACCACGCGTAACGATAGCTTTGAAGGCGTCCCGGACTGCTTCGTTGTTTCCTGCGCGAGGAGTGCTCCTCTGAGGGAGAAATTGAAGTCGCAGGAAGATGCCAGTTGCCGATGACGTTGCTGTTTCTCTCCGATCTATCACTTTCACACTGCGTGTATCAATGACTTGCTCCTATTACCTGCCTATAGTTAGTCAGCCATGGTTTGTATGCGGCTCTTCGACCACTGACTAGCTTTTGCACTAATTCACGGTTAACTTCTGTTCTGCAGCGATCTGGGATTTACCTGATTTATGGATAAGCTCCTTTTGGGTTTAACCTCACACCTTGCTATGCAAGAACCTCTTCTGTTATTTTTCTTAAAATGATGTTGCTACTGACCACACTTTCTTACACTCACAGGCTCAGGTGTACAGGTTCTTCTGGGATAATTTTATCTAATAAAAACCCGTGGTTTTTTGTACATACAAATGTTGTCATTTAACCTATATGTGAAAATTAAAAATAATTGTTCAATGTGAAAACAATAATCCATTAATGCTTCTTAAAGAGTAGCAGCTGCATTTCGGCTATGTTGTCCTTTGACGTTTAAAAAAAAATGCTGCATATTGTATGCATTGTGGTTTTAATGCAAAAAGGAAAAATCTCAACTTTTAACAGCATTTGAACATACCCTGCATCTCATCGAAACTTCACAGTATTTCTGTACTATTTATTCATATATAAATATATATATGACATCATTTAAAACTTTCCTACCTGTAGGCAATAGATTGCTATGTTTTTAACAAATTGTGGCAAACTGAAGAGTACTTTTTTGTACCTTATAGGACACATCATCCTAGACAAATAAAGTAACGTGTTTGACATTGATTTGGTGGTGTTTCTAATGAAACATTTGATAACGTTATCACATACAGGTCTTGGCTTTGCCAGATTATGTGTAATTGCCAGTGAATCAGGTTGATTAGGGACATAATCCATACATGCAGTTTAATCTTGCCGAGAGCCCTTTTTAGTGTTTCCAATCGCCGTTGAGTAGGTTGAGGAACTTTTCTCGATTGATTTGTGGTGATCTCTTATAGTTACGTGGTGTTGCTGAAAATACATCACTCGTAACTAATACCCACCTTCCTTAAAAGCAGGGTAAGTTCATAAGATCTGTGATCTCTGCTCAGTCATCCTCTTCTTTGTATTTTTATCAATTATTGCAATATTTGTTTCAAAACAGTCATATATTGTAACACGGATTTTGATAACGTGCACTATACCAGCTTGATTTTGTCTCCTCAAAGAAATTTGAAGCTATTATCCTTGGTCTAGATGGAGTTTGTGTAAAAGTTAATGGGGATTTAAAGTGGAATAAAAAGTTGGGCTTACCCAGAAGCCTCGAGTAAAGCTCTGGAAAGACGGGAAGGCAACAATATTCCTGTACTCCTGGATTTCAGTGTATTGGCTGCAGAATTTTTGTGCTTGTCCTGCTGGGGAAAAAATTAACTGCAAGGTATCAAAATTACCGTGGCAGCTATTGCATGTAAGTGCCATCTTCTTTTCAGTGTGGTTAATGCTGTGAGGTTTTTGTAATAGCGAGTGCAAGGTTGTGGAAATCCACTTGATCTAGGAATTATTTTTTCCTTCGGTATGTTAGTTAGCATGTGAGAAGCCTGGTAAAAAGTGAGAAGAGTAGGTAGGCTCCTGCTCCAGCTGCATTCCAGTTGGGCTGTGAAATAGCGGCTTGTTGCTCAGCTGCTGCGATAACAGTTTAAGGAGTGACCGTCCACGCAAGAAAGGAAAGGTAAGGTGACGTCGTAATGCAAAAAGAGAACATGGAATAAATTGCTCTTCAGGCTTGCTTGTAGAGCAGTAGCTGTATCGGGGAGCGGTGCAGACGTGTGCCGGTTACTCGCATTTCACTCGGGCTTGGGACGTCATTAGCGCTGTGTACTATTATTCATCTCTTCCGAGAGACAATCAAAATGAGATACAGCCATGGATATTATTTTTGTACGCATGCTTTGCCTGTTTTAGGTTACGATAATGTCTTGGGGGCGGGGAAGGGTGCTTAATTGCTGCTCTGGGCAAAGGGATGACTAGGACTTGCTGGTCAGTCCCTGGACTTCGGTTGAAAATAGAAACAAAGCAACTTGAGAAGCACACGTAACCCTTCCTCCTGCCTTCCCCTGGCCCCCCCAGTCTGCTCCAGTGCTTTGATTCATTGCCAGGAACAGTCGTTCTGCCAAATCAAAAGCCCCCTCAAAGTCTCTCGGGAAAATTCCATCTATATGTGCTGCGCTCCACGCGAAATCTTTCGTGTAACAAAAGTGAGACAGTATATTTTTTAGATAGACACAGGCTGCGAGTAAATTTCTGTCCTATAGTAGCAGCTTCTGGGTCCCAAAATGTACGGTGTTTGCTCTCGGGATTCGGCTCCTATTCCGTATCAATGGATGCTTCATACGGTGTGACCTGGCGCCCGCTGCTCCGTAGCTTTTCAGTGACGCGAGCTCAAGCTGCAGACACGTATGCCAGGTAGAGCGGTGTTACAACTGCCTTCACTTCAGAGCAGAAAACGCTTACAGAAGCCACTGTGTCCTGTTCCAGGTCACATCGTATGTATCGCTGTGTATTTTTTTAACTAGACTGCATTTTCCTTTTTTTTAATAGAAATGGATATCTTAAAATCCCCAGCCGGCTCGTCAAACGAGGAGATGCCATAGTTTAATATTGTTACATGATCTTTTGGGATCTTTCAGAACCCAGGAAGCAGTGAACCCGGTACCCAATGGACATTTTAGTAGCTTCTTTTAAAGACTTAAGATCGGTGAATACTGACTCTTGGAACAGCCAAGATTATGATCCCCTTTGTGGAGGTTTCGTAGGTTCTTGCATCCCACCATGCTGCAGGTACTAAAAGATTGTATCTTTGATTGAAAAAATAACGTTACTGATGTGCAAGTACAAACTTGGTGATATTTCTCATGGGAAAATGACATTCAGTACAGTTTCAGGACTGAACTTTGAAGGAGCTGACAGTGTAACCAGGCATCCCAAATGCGCGTGCAAGTGCGTGCTTAGTTTGCATTCCTTGGCATAACTTGTGCCGCTGTTTGTAAGCCTAATTGGGCATTTGTGTTGTGCGGTTACTTGATTTGCTTTCAGTTAGTGTATTCATATGCTCAAATAATTGCAGAGCTCTTTTTGTGTGCTTCATGTGAAAGTCCAGCTCTGAAGAACGATGTAATTTTTAAAAGTAATACGGACGTGTTTGAGGATACCAAAACAATACAAATGATTCTTCGTTTTGTTGCTTTCTTCTGAATCGAATGTCTGTAATAATCTACGCAGAATTGTGTGAAACCACAGTGGACATCATCTATAGCTAAAGCTATGGCATCATCTAACGTTCGTTCAGGGTTAAGTGTTTGAAAGTGCGGTTATTTCTTGCGTACCTAGAACAATGCCTCCAGAGTTTTACTGTACAATTACTACAGACGGTTACAGGTGCATTACAGCAGGGGAGGTGATGATAACCTCGGGCTCTGAAAACAGCTGGAGCAAATTCCTGGCCAGTTAATGCTCCCTAGACTGACTTTTGTGCTAAGCTTCACAGTGCGCAGGCAGCTGGTCAAAACATTCCGTTAGTGTTTGCTGAAGCACAAAAGCAAGTGTCCTATCACAACCAGTTTCAGAGGTGAGGTGAACTCCCTCCCGCTGCTGTTAACCGTGGCCAGGTTTATTCTGGTAAGTGAAATCTGCTGCTGCCCGTGTCCTGCGCGGAGGTTACCGGAGCCTTAGCTGCATTTAGTGTGAGCCGCTTGCACTTTGCCGTTCCTCTTCCTGTTGAATCTCTTCACGTAGCTGCTGCTGCTTCGAAGCAAGCCGTCCCCTGGCCTCAGGCGCCCTCGCAGGAACTCCAGCAGGTTTGCAGGGATCTGTCGTCTCTTGTGGTAGATCCGACCCATCACAATGTATCTGCTGCCTGCAAAACAAACCAGACTTCTGGGCCATGAAGAAAGCATGGATTCCTTCGCTGCGCTCGCTCAAAGGGCAACAGGTTTATGAACAGGTGGGAAGTTGCACCCTGCAGAAATACATCCTGAATGGGTGGCTTAGTACAGCGGCACCCTGCGCTTCAGTGGGACTTTGTGGGTTGTGCTTGCATGGAAATAATGATTTACTGTCTTGTATTGCAATTAGAAGCTTTTGCTATTTGAGAAACTTGCATTTAGAAGGAAAACTGGACTACTTACAAAGACATAACTGAAGCTCCTGTTTAAATTTTTTTGGCAATCCTGAAAACTCTTGCAATCATTTTGAAACCGGATAAAGTTAAGAAAGGACTACGCTGCTACCCAACTTCTTCACGCAGTTGGTTCTCTTCTGAAAATTTAGAGAAACCGGGGGGGTAAAAGCCCTCTAGATTAACAGTAAATACTTTTTTTTTTTCCCCAAAATATCACAACCCAGGATAAGCCTATTAAACTAGGGCAGACGAAAATTGCACTGCACGCAGGAGGAATAGTGGAATGGATTTAGCTGGAATTATTTACCAAGTTTAAAGTCCGGACATGGTTTACTGCAGTTTAAAGTATCCACAACTAGAATGTGAACTCGAAAGAAGAAGCCATCAGGAGTAATATACAGGCGACTCATCTTGTATAATCCATCGCTGTTTACCAAAAGCGTAATCAAGTGGACTCCATTCCCCAGTCTTTCCATGTTATAAACAATTCCGTTCACTGCTGTTTGGAGGGAGGGAGGGGAAAAAAAAAAAGCATCAGATTACACATCTTGGTGGCAACTCAGGGTATATGTGAAGGCTCTCATTTAAAATGCTGTAAAGTAAGCGTCAGCAGAAATTCTTTGGCTCAGTAGTGGGCAGTCTTGAAAGTAGGAGTTGCTTCAAATAACCTCATTTGATGAGGTCATCACCTTAGTTTTTGCTGAGTTACTAACCTTACGCTTTACAGGGCTGAGATGTTTCTTAGTGAAGTTCATAACGTTTCCAAAGAAAGCAATGGTTTAGTACTGTTTTCCATCCTGATATATAAAAAGCGGACATATTTACTTATCAAAGTAAAATTTTCAAATTTAAAACTTCACAATGAAGTCGAAAGCCAACGTGCTAATAAAATGCTTCAGCTTTGGAAAGGAAAGGCCCTCGTCATACCAAGAGGCACGGGCACCAAGTAGGCAGTGTTGTAGGCTCAGTCACTTCATGCTCTCCACCCAGTTCCTGGTTTTGACAAGTGCTGAGCTGACTACAGGAATCGGAAAACAACGAACGTGTTAGGCAGGTAAGGCACACAGGACTTCTGTAACTGGCGTTACACCTGCCTCACTGAGTGACACCTTTGATTCAGTCATTTATTCTTTAACCTGCACTGTCAATGTAAAGAAATGAAAAGCGCTCTCTGGTGACTGCAATGGAACCTTGCCTGATGTGTTGCTCAGACTGTCTTTTTCCTACCGGTCTTTTTCAGTTTAAGAAATTAACATTAAAGGCTGAAATACACAAAGGTCGGGTCGCTATAAGGCCTGCGTTTGACAGGAATGCATGAGAGTGGTAAAAAATAAAGAATATAGCATTTGTAGAAAGCACTTCCTGACTTCTCCATTTAGAGAAAACAGATGTCTCGTAACGTGTTTATGTTCTACAAATGGAAACATCTGTTACCACTAGGCATGTATTTTCCTTATCTCTTAAAATACTGTGAGAAAAAGCTGGTATCTCACAACTTTGTAAGTGCAAGGCAAGATTTCAGTCAGAAAATGCTTGCTCTTAAACAGTCAGTACCCAAATGCCAGGCTGGTTTCTACCATCTTTAGCTACATCAGCTTGGACACAAGGACTAAAGACACTGAGTCCTAAGGAACTTCAGGGAGAATCCTCTATACAGAGGATCACAGTTTTATTTTTGTTTGGTTCTCCATTTTATTTTCATTTGAAACTGTAGCCCCCAAAATCACAAATTCACTCTAAAGAGTAAGAGGTAAGTAACACAGCTACAATGTTTAACCTTAGACTATCTAAAACAAGGGGTCTTTTCCATTCCGTTGACCAGCAGCAAGAATATTGTCTTCGTCCCAGGAGTGAGAAGTAGAGGAAACCGAAAAAAGAGCAGTACTAGCCCAAGGCAGGGAACGGGTAATGTCAGACTTGGTACCGTTTGTCATAGCAGGTTTATAAAGAGCTGTGATGGGTCCTTTTAGTGTACTTAGTAATCATTTAACATACTCGGTGAAACAGTATCTTAAAAGCAGAAGTGAAATGTCAGCAACAGGCGAACAAAGGCGGCGCCTGCTTTGTCCATGTGGTTCAAGGAGGACACAACTCACCGAATTCACTCGCGCAGTAGGCCTCCACCTCGTCTCTCTCTCTCCTGCACTCGGTCAGACATGCCTTCTCCTTATCACCATCTAGAACAAGCGCACAGACTGAGGGACAGCAATGGGCGTTTGGGGGATATTTCATCCTTTGGAAAGCTCAGGATATCCCTTGCCAGAGCAGTCTATCCCCTTACCTTTCTTCAGCGCGCTGAAGTCGTACGGCAAGCTGGACGACTGCCGGTTGGTGACCCAGGAGGGTTTGGTGACCTTTCTCACGGGATCAGTATGTTTATAGGGGATTATTTTGCCTGGTCGGTTGAAGTGATCCAGTGTGTTAGGATCATCTGCCTCCACTGCTCCAGAGTCTGGAAAAGGATGAGCCTCCACTAAGGATGTCCTCTTTCGCGAGGAAGATGGTGCGTGATGGAAGTGAGCCGACACGCTGTTGGCAGCCTCAGCCAGCCGTCTGTCCGCATGCTTTCTGTTCGCATGATTGAAGTCAAAGGAGGCAGCAGAAGGCCCCTCGGTCGGGCTCTCCAGAGGCAGGGCCCCTCCGTACTGCGAGAGGTGTTTCCTCAGCCCCGTGCTGTTTTCTAGAGAAGGCTTAGTGCGTTTCTTTTTGTCCGATGAGAGGGAGATGATTTCAGGAGGTTTTGGCCACTGCAGGTCGGCGGGAGGCAGAAGCCAGCGTTCCGTGTGATTCTCTCTGGCACTGCTGGTGCCCCAGGCTGGCGGTTTGACCTGGCCAGGGGCAGCGTCCGCTGAACTATAAGCATCTTTGCTGAGAGTCTGACTGGGTTTCTCGGCATAGGGCAGGGAGCCTGCATACAAAAAAAGGAGAGCGAGCGCGAATTAGCATGTTAATTTTTTTATTCCACGTGCTTCTGAATGGGAGCAGCTTTGAGGCTCTAGGCTGTAAGTGAGGCCTTCAACAATATGACAATATAACTGATAAATAGTTCAACCGATGAAATATAGCAGAGTTCCTCATTCTTCTGTACTCAAACAGGGAAGGCCCAGCACAGAGAATGCAGCTGTGTGAGCAAAACACAGGAGATTTGCATTTTTACTTTATTATTGTTGCAAATTAAAAACATGACTTATAAACAAACCCTTTTCTCAAAAGCCTGAATCTCCAGGGAACATCTGAGGAAACAAGGTTCACATTGCCATTTGGGATGCTTGTTTAAAAGACCATGACAACAGAACTATTTGGTTTTCCCATCCATGGGATGCCTTATTGACAATGTCATCCGGACTCTTCAGCGGCTTTGGGCTTTGAAAGCTACTGAAAAGATCTTTATCTACAGTTTTGCGTCTCTGACTTTTGCACTACAGAGTTGTATAGTAGTAGTACCATAGTCTGGTAGCTAGGCTATCGCTGCTGAGTAACAATTATTTCAAGGCTTTTCTTAAGTTGAGAGGGCAAAGGTTGAGAAAGAGAGGAAGTGTCTGGGAATCTAGTGAAAAATGGGAAGGCTTAATGACATTGTTCACACAAGCTGGATAGTCACCGAGGCCTTCGTTTATACCTTCATCTTGATCACTTGGACCTCATGAAGCAAAATGACCTTCCGTTTAGCCTGAGAAGAGAGAAATTTCCTCTTGCAGTTCATTTTCCTTTTACTTTAATCCTTCACCGCATGCCTTTAGTTAGCCAGCACAGTTTTAAAACAGTTCACCCACACACAGCCGCTGCCTGGGTGTTCACTGCCTGTGGTTAGCATCGTGTAGGAGGCTGATCCTAACTCCTTATGTGAAAAGAGATATCTGACATACACAGATGAACAACGTCCTGGTTTATCGTCTATAACTGACTCAACTGCTGACCTTGCCACTTCTCCCCCTTTGCTCTCGCCAGCTGCTGTCATGGGAAAGATTCCCTGATATTTGGGCTGGCCACACGTAAAGTCAAAAGAATGTCCATGAAGAACGGGGTGGAAGAAGTCCAAGCTAAAGAAAGCAATAGGCAAGGGTGTGTTGGAGATGTTTCGGTATGAAGCTGGGAACTCTGAACAGGTGTTTTGGCCTTGGTTTTAGAAGTATGCTCTTCTACCAGTTTATCATGCCGCCTTAGTCATGGATTGTAACAAGAAATAGTTCATTTTTCTCTACTGGATCTGTTCAGGACCTTGAGGTTCGTTCTCCTATACCAGCATATTTCTGTCTAGCTCTTGCAACCTAAGAAATACAACTGCAACATAATCAGCTCCTTCCCAATGGAACAGATGTGTATCTTATTTCTGTTCCATCAACGAGGTACTAAAAAAAAAGAAATCCATTTAGGACAGCTTGCTGCAGACACACATGACAGCACAGAGCATGTTGAAATAAATTAGAAATCTGGAGTTTACAGGTGAGGGGAAGGAGGCTAAAAGGGAAAGGTCACACGCAAATAAAAAATCCCATATGCGGAAGCAAGTCAAACTTCAATTGCTGAATGATGGCTAGCAGGATTCATGGCACCGGCTAACTGCCTGCTTTTGGCAGGTGCTCTTAATTCTTTCAAATGCTGACAAATCAAATATTGCAATTTACATTCCCATCCCATAAACAGGTTGAAATGTTTCTCTCTTGAGCCCTTATGTGATTACTGCTACCGCTTGCTGAAAAGACTACAGCTGAAGAGGGCTGCTCAGGCAGGAATTCACGGTAATCTGTTCAGCCTCCCCTGATACCAAAGGCAAATATGCCCCAGCCCCGCTTTGAATGTTAACAGACTTACCGGCCACTGAGCTGGAAGATGATCTAATGACAAAGCAGAGGAGCCAGAACACTTTGGTTGTCATTTTGAAGTAAAGTTTTTGCAGACTCAAAATGAACTGGAGTCTTTTATGCCCTTCCCCCGATTCATGCTAATGAGAGGCAGCCTTAGGGGAAACGGGAATCACTCACTGGACAACCCACTGGAGCAAGACCAAGCTGCTGCCGTCCTCGCCAGCCTCCCACTGCCCCTGCCTAGGAGGAACGCGCACGGACACCCCCCCCTTCCCATATATACGCAAGTCTATACTGCCTGCAGTCACCTGTGTTTCCATGAATAACATAGAGAGGTGTTTGTAGCAACAGATTTTTATTTTAGGAGAGGGTCTTGCTTCCTATGGTGTTTTTTAGAGAAAATCATACAGAACAAATACGGTTTTACTGGACATGGAGAAGTACAACTGACAGATGCTGGATCACACATCACCTCTGCGATTCAGCGTCTGTAAAGGATGTGCATTACAATGAAAGATATTTAGGTATTTTTGGCCACCTCCAGTTATGCAGCTGGTAATCTTTTAGTTTAAGGAACCCTTTCCACTGATTCTTTTCAGACTGAAAAATGTAGTAGCTCCTGTCCAGTCCAAGGGACAGCTCTGCCCACCCCAGATAAAGTTTTATTTTTAAATCTGTATTTGCTAACATGAACTCTGCAAATTTTCACATACCGAGCCAACTCTGATTTGGATTACGGAATTAAGTAGCCTTATTCCTATGTTCCCAACTGAAATGGGTGAGCTTCTTGCTAGACAAGATTTCCATTGTGACAGTTTATTTCACTAGCTGCTACTGGATGTTGTGAAAGTTAGTGAACTGGTTCATGCCTTTAAGGTGCAACTAACAACTTAAAAATACTATAAAAGCTATATCCCAGCTCCTGAAACTCACCCCACAACAGAAAATCTGCCCATCAGTAATGCCTGTGTCATGTGGTCCAGCTACTGCCTACTTTAAACACTGTTTGTTTGGTACTGCCGTAATGACGCAGTTTAATAAAATCCTTAAAAGTACAGGGCTTTATCTCAAGCAGCTATGGGTGAAGATACATTTTCATTAATAATAATTTTCATTAGCCAGAACAGTGTGCAAAATAAATGAAATTTTAACACATCTGTTAGTGTGTTACGTTTCTACTGCAGCATTTATTAATCCTTATTTTCCTTTGTTACTTTAAACATTTTAATTCCACCAGTATCCCAAGATAGCTATTATGGAAACAGGAATTTAAACTAAGGATGAGGCAGAGGCGAGCTCGTACGTTCTTTATCCACCTCATCTCCCGCTCAACCGGCGCGCGTACCTGCCGCAAGTCGCCAGCGCGACCCGCGCGTGCTGCCACGGCCGTGCCGCGGACGGATGGATGCGTGCGTGGGGATGCAGGCGTGAGCGTCCTGCAGACCTTCTGTGCTCCAGGGAGTCGTCTGCTTAAATTAGCTGGGAGTGTAACTCAACCTCTATTGATGTATGACTATGTCTGCATTAAGGAGTTTCTCCAGACGCTTTACCTGGACAGGATCTCGATTAAAAGGCCAGTAGGAGCGTTTGGAGTACTTCTGTCATCGAAGAAGCTACGCCTGTGCCAGCAGCAGCGGAGAGGGGAAAAGCTGTGGGAGCAGCACTGAGGAAAACAGGGACCGACAGCGCAATGGCCACGTCCGAGAGCCCGCACAGAGCTGCGCCGGCAGCGGCTGGCGCTCCGCAGGCTCGGCTTCCCTCGCCTCTTTACCACAACGGCTCGGCAGGACCCACGCTGCGACCGCGGCCGGGCGACGGCCCCCGCGCCCCGGCCACCCGCCCTCCGCCCC